GTGAAGGGGGGGGGTGCCGTGCCCGCCACGTGGCACTTATGTAAGGAGAGTGCAGGGGAGGACAGGAGGCAGCCGGGGCACCGGGGACACCGGGGACACCGAGCCCCCGCCGTGCGGCTGCGTGGCTGGACACACAACCAAACGGGGGGCTGCCCGGGCACTGCCCGGCCCCGTGGGCACAGCACGTGTGTGTGGCAGAGCGAGGGGACACGCACACACGTGTGCAAGAGCTGGGGGATGGACCCCCCCTCTACCCCCCCAACCAGCAGCCCCTCAGCCTCCCCATCTGCCGGCTGCGCTGCCGGGTATCCTGGGGTGCCCCAGGGTGTCCCGGGGTGCCCAGGGGTGTCCTGGGGTGCCCCAGCCTCGGTGGGCACGTCCCCGGGGCTCCCGGCCCCTCACGGAGCGGGGAGGATGATGAACGGCTCCGGCTCCATCCCTCTGCGCTATCGATTTTTCATCCACTGCGGCAGAGAGAGGAGCTGGGGGCAGCGCGGCCGCGGGCACCCCCCTGGGATGGGATGGCACGGGATGGCACGGGGAGCCACCTTCCCACATCCCCCCCACACCACCCCACTGCCCCCCCCACCTTGGGACACCCCAGGGACCTTCCAGCCCGGCCGTGGGGTGCCCGGTTGGGCCCAGATGTGGGGGTTTTCCTCCCGTGGGCACGGGGATGGCGCAAGGCGGGGAGATTTGGGGAGCAGGTGGGGGGGGTGGGGGGCAGCGTGGTACCCACCCGCGTCACGGTGGCGTCACTGCGGTCACGCACGCTGCCAGCCACTTCCTTCCACCCAGCTGTGTCACCCTGTGCCGTGGGGCTGCGTCACAGCCGTGGGGTGATGCCACCATGGCCCGTGGGGGAGCAGGGGGGTGCCCCCGTGCAGCCCGTGCCCAGCTCTGCCCATGGGTCTGGGGGTGTTGGCACCCACTCAGCCCCACAGCCTGGTGACGTGGGGCTGGTCCTGGTGTGGGACAGGGTCCCCTCAGCCCCCCAACACGGAGAGGGGGCAGGGATGTGGAGCAGAGCGGGCACAGCCTGGCCTGAACCCACTGCCCCCCCTCCGTGCTGCCACACACGTCCCACACATGGCAGCCCTGGCTATAAATAACCCCACAGTGGCCACTGGCTGAGCCACGCTGGGGGCTGCCCCCCCCTCATCCTGCCTCAGTTTCCCCACTGACCCCCATGTCCAACGGCAGCTGCGAAAAGGAGGTGGCAGAAGGGTGTCCCCAAGGTGTCCCCGGACACAGAAGGGATGGGCAGTGCCACCCTGTGCCAAAAGGGGAGGTGGGAAGGGGGGGGACGACACCCCCAGTCCTGGAGTGGCATCTGCTTTGGTCCTGGGTGGCCCCGAGCAAGGACACAGCCACTGTCCCCACGTCCTGCACCCCATGGGGACCCCACAGGCCATGGGGCCAGGGAGGGGGGCCAGGATGGGGCTGGCACACACCAGGGCCATGCCATGGGGCCGGGGGAAACTGAGGCACACAGGGGACTCCAGGCAACCCACCCTGCCCCTGCACCCCCATCCCTCACTGGGAGCTGCTGGGGGGGCAACAGGGATCCGGGGGGACAGGGTGGGATGTCTGGAAAGGAGGGGTGCAATGGCTGGACACGGGGTACCCACAGAGCACCAGCCCCTCCCCACTCCCCC